AGGTAAGAGTACAAAACACATTAGACATCAGAGTTACTATATGCACATTGTTGAACTCTTCCATGAGGTAAAGCTTGGTTTTTACTTGCATCAGAATCAGAGTCAGAGTCAGAATCGGAGTCTTAAGCAAGTAATATACGAGTGAAAATCATTCCTCATAAGCAGAATCAGAATCTAAAACAGAGGCCTTGATTTGAGGTATATATGACTGTGCTTTTCTTACATTGAAGAAAGCCTGGAGAAGAAGAGTATTATGATTGGTTTTATCGCTTCCGCTTTCAATAATCTAGTTCTTACTTGTTGTATAGCTGTAAGGATCAGAGTCAGAAAATGGGTAGAAAATAGAAACCTTTCCAATCTTTCCAATTTCGATTCCAACACACTCATGACTCTGATTCCCACTCTGTTTTCTGGTTTTCACTTAGTCATAAGCTGCTTAAGATTTGATTCTGACTCAGACTCCGATTCTGACGCAAGTGAAAACCAAGCTTAGGAGTACAAAACACATAGACATCAGAGTTACTATAATATGGACATTCTTGTTAAACTCTAGCTTCCATAAGATAAATAGAAGAAATGATGTGAAATTTTTCTTAGTCACTAAAGATTAATTTTACAGTGCAGCTACTATAACCATAGTAACACTGTATTACCATATTATACAAACTTCCTTGACGGCATGTCCAGTATTTTTTTCAAGCCTGCATGCAGTTCAAAGGGAGGGACCAGGGACTCAGAGAAGAGAAGGGAATCCCATGTCTCAGCTCCCTCCACTTGCCTTCCTCTTTATTAAGTTTGGTCTTGTATTAAATCCTAATAGATTGCATATCTCACATCTCTTGGACAATCATTGGACTTGACTACAACACCAGGGAAAAATTTTGAAAATTTTACTTTAGACAGGTACCTAGATTTGTATGCTTTATATTAAATTTTATTGTGTATCTTAAATCAGAATAAGCTGTATGTTGGGTATCCTGTGGTTTTCGTATAATCATTATGAACATTTCACTCTTACAAATGATTTTAAGATACAGACCACCTATATGGTCCTTGACACAAGTATCAAACAAGATCAACAGTTTTCTATCTGAGTTGCAAGCGAATGGGATTCAAACAATAACAAGGGAATGGGTCAACTCACCCACGGACCAACTTGCCCACGCCAACACGCCCACATATAAAATCATCGATCATGCCTTTGCCAACTCGCCCATGCAAACTTGCCTACGTTTATAATAACTTTAAGAAATATCTAACCATATATTAAGACTAAATTAAAGTAGTAGTTCGTGATTTACCAACCTAACTTGACACTTATGAGCTCAAGAATTCAAAAGGTGACTAGCTTGCTAACAAAATGTCGCTTTAGCCTTTAGTGACATTTACATTTGGTTTATGAGTCAATACCTAAAGTTTATGCCCATGTTAAAGATGTAAAAGTTAGAAATATACATATTGCAAGAAAAAAGAAAAATGATATTGATACTACTCTTCCCAGTAGACCAAGGCAGTTGTGCTCTTTTTATGGCGTTTGTAGCGTCTTTTATGTGATCCAGAAGTACATTTCAAATGGGCCACGTGATGCTAATGTTGTACCACATGGACATGTTTTTTACACCACATGATCAAAATTCAGTCGAGTTTTAATCAGATGGTGTAAAAACATGTCCACATGGTACAACGTTGGCATCACGTGGTCGATTTGAAATGTACTTCTGGATAACATAACAGATGCTACGAAGGCCATTAAAAAATTCCAGCTACCTCAGTCTACTGAGAAGAGTAGTATTATTAGTTGTAGGGAGGGACCACAGACCCTGCAGTACTTGGTTATAAGAATTGAGCTAAATATTTTATGCTTTTTTTTGATTATGACTAAGGTACAAGGTAATTGTCAAGTACAAGACAGCTTTCTATTCATTCTATCTTCCTGTGGCTCTGGCAATGTACATGGTAAGAGTTGATATTAGTATGACCTGAGGAAATTGTGTCATAGTCTCCTGATTGACAGACCCACAGACTGGCTGACTCACCCAACTGACTGACTGACTGATTGGCTCTGGCTGACTCTGACTGACTGACTGACAGACTGAATCACTGACTGAATGACCCACTGACTTATTGACCAACCCACTGACAGACCCACCAACAGACCCGCTGACAGGCCCACTGACAGACCCACCGACTGACCCACTCACAGACCCACTGACAGATCTACTGACAGACCCACTCACAGACCCACTCACAGACCCACTCACGGACCCACTCACAGACCCACTCACAGACCCACTCACAGACCCACTCACAGACCCACTCACAGACCCACTCACAGATCTACTGACAGATCCACTGACAGACCCACTGACAGACCCACTGACAGAACAACTGACTGACTGACTCACTTAAGGACTGACTGAATAATTAACATTCAGGGTTTTTGGCCTTTTTCAATAGGCTGGCATTACAGACAAAGAAACACATGAAAATGCTAAGGCTATTCTATTAGAAATGGGAGAATTTTTCCAAGTACAGGTAATGATTTTATAATTGTGCATGACAGTGTAATGAAACAGCACTTTCATTGTACAAAGTCGATGCCAATATTATCTACATGTAAGGGCTTATTTAAAGACTGATCAAATTTATTCCAGTCGTTTATAGCTAAATCTGTGGACTTCCACAAGCCCAGATCCTATATCAGCTGCTGTTTTCCCAGTATTACTGTTATCAGGGACAGAGCTAGGAATCTGAGGAAGGGGGGTCAGAAAGAATCAGCATTAGATGAATCTCACTGTTGACTATGCAAAACGAATCTTGAAGAGATCTGGGGGCATGCAGAGGAAATTGTTTTAATTTATTATTTTAATGCTGTCTTCTGCATTCGGAATATTTTGGACCAAAGAAGTAATAAAAAAATTCCTAACGAGGGGGCCGCAGCCTTATTGGCCCACCTCTGTTAAATCTAGTGACAGCTGGTTTACAAACTCATAAATAAATGTAGGTTAATGTTCAGCATGTCTTCATGAACATGTCATGAGATATTATTCTTTATCTGATAAGCGATGGAAACAGTGGAATGCTAAAGTTCTCACTTTTTTCTTTCAACTTATTTTCTCTGTTTTTAGGATGATTTTTTAGATGCTTTTGGTGACCCAATTGTAATGGGTAAAGTAGGAACAGATATTGAAGAAAACAAATGTACCTGGTTGGTAGTTAAGGCCTTGGAAAGAATTAATTCACAACAGATGGACATTATTAAGGTGAATGAGAAGAAGCATTTGATTTCTGGTCATGCATTTGGGGCTTGGTTCCCTTATCTCATCCATCCACCAACCAACCCACCTTTTCATTCCTCACATCCATCCATTCATCTATCCTATTCCATCCCATCGATTTCAAGCTCGCATCCATCCATCTTACCCCTTACATCCATCCATCTTATCCCATGCATCCATTCACCAACCCACCTTTTCATTCCTCGCATCCATCCATTCATCTATCCTATTCCATCCCATCGATTTCAAGCTCCCATCCATCCATCTTACCTCTTCCATCCATTCATATTATCTCATCCATCCATTCGCCAACCCACCTTTTCATTCCTCACATCCATCCATTCATTAATCCTATTCCACTCATTTCCAGCATCCATCCATCTTTTCTTTTTACTTATTCCATCCATTTCAAGCATTCAACCTTCCATCCTTCTTATCCCATCCATCCATCTATCTTATCCCATTCAACCATCCATCTTATTCCATCCATCCATCTATCGTATCACATCCATACATTCATCTTATCCCATCCCATTATTCATCTTATCTCATCCATCCATTCTAGTCAGCCGTGTGAATATGAAACCCTTAGTTTACTAAACTTCAGGGAAGTCCTTTCAGACAGAACATCAGCTATCAAGAGGAGTTCATCAGTTTTCCATCCGTTTAACAGTCTACATTCAGTTCTCCCATGCATTAATGTTTTCTCCTATTACCTTTCCCAGCTATATTAATTATCAAAACATCTTCTCAATCTATCCTTGTTTTACAATTATTTTTTTAAAGGAAAATTATGGAATAAACAGTGTACAAGCATCCTCCAAGATAAAAGACCTTTATCATACCTTGAACCTCAAGCAGGTATTCCATGAATATGAAGAACAAAGTTATCAACGAATTCTTGATCTGATATCTAAGAAATCAAGCCAACTTCCCAAGGCAATCTTTCTCGAGTTTGTTAAGAAGATTTACAAGAGAAATAAATAATGTTATGGTACAGTGAGGACTGTGACACTTTCCTGAAATTTCTGCTGTTTCAAACCCTCTAAAACGCATCATTGCAAGTCGGTTGTTCGCCTTGCTGCAAACGCACGGCTACCTTTCAAGATGCCGCAGGGAATTGATTGGCTCAAGGAGGATTTACTATGCATTAAATAAAAAATGGCAAAAAAAAAAAAAACGGTTCACAGCTGAGTGTCCTCCCTGTAACAGTTGATGAACTTAACGAACATGAACTGCGTGCAAGGTAATCCTTAGGGAAAACATTTCCCCAATTATTAAAAACTAAAAATAAATACTGTTAATAGACCTCTTCAACTTGGGGTAATGTTTCCCATTTCAGACCACGTGTCATTCCCTTGAGAATAATATTCTTTGTTTAAGCTATATCCATATTCATGTGTCTTCTGATGTGCAACCGAGCGCAAACCTTAAACAAAGAAATGATACTGAAATGAGAAAACATTACGTCAGAGCCGAAGAGGTCTATTGACAGTCTTGATTTACAAGTAGGAATCATAGAATAAAATAAATGAATTATTTCGTTTTTAAATGACATTGGATATAATTTAGATAAATCTAGTTAGGTTTGTTTGTAGGATGTATTATAAATAATGACTGCAACTGTGATATTTTAATAATAAACATCTTTAGTGGGTAACTAATAAAGTTAAACGTTTTTCCAGTGAGGCACATTTTGTAAATATATTTCTCATAATAATATATATTTAGGCACTGTCTAAAAGCGGAGCTCCAGATACGGAAGTCACAGGGAGAACAATTTGAATGAAACTGAAAGGTAAAAATAAGATTGGGGAAAAAAATCTTCAATTATTTTTTATTCGAGATGAAGATAATTTCTCCCATAATAAAAACCATGCAGTGAAATTGAATCGAAATGCACTACATTGTTTTCTTTGCATAAGTATACTCTCCCACTTAGGAATTTTGTACACAACTCACCACCACCCCCAGGGGCTAGTTTTCTTGGAAGATTCTTCGACAAAGTTAGTTTTAGGCTTTGAATCTCTTTTACTTAAAAAAAAAACACGAAAGATAACTACAGATAATCCAACACAATATCAAGTTTAGTGAAATTTACCTCGGATGTCTTTCATTGAAATCGAAATTCTGGAGATTTAGGACAAATCAAGACCAAAAAGCAGACTTGAAAACTGGTTAAGGTGAGCATAAAATAAGCTTACTTTAATTACGTCTTTTACAGAACGAGACGAAGTTTACAATCAGTTAAACGTGACAAGAACAACTGAGACAAAATAGAAAATAATGAAAGGCAATGCAAAATACAAAATGACGAATTTCTTGTCAGTAAATTGGCGTTTGTAAATGTTTTTGAATATTTCTTAGCTTTTTAAAGTGAAAGTCTAGATCTTCATACAATAACATCTCTCAACAACACAAATTTAAGCTCATTTTTATAATCATACTTGCTCGAACAGCTTAATAAACAGTTGAATGTTTGGTGTAAATTTATATTTCATTCAATAATTAAATAAATTATCTGTAGAAAGATATAAAATTATTGAATGAAAGTCTTCTTTGTTTAGCCGATGGGACCCGCGACAAGAGGCAAACAAAGCTGCATTTTCATCTTGAACGAAAAACATACGATGGTTAAAAACAACCGAATTGTTAAAGATTTACGAAGCTAAATAAAGAACAAATATTTGTTCTAATATGCTCTTCGTATTATTTTTCCTCCAGCTTGAAATAAATTAAGCTTATCTATAGAAATATAAAAAGTTTTGAGAGAAAGTCTTTGATTTGTCGATTCGTCGAGAAAAATGCTTGTCAAGAAAATAATAATGTACGATTGTTTGCTAAAAAGCACACACCTGAATTCTTGAAGAACACTTCTTGATCCATCTTTGAATACATAAAAGTTTTTTTAATTGTCTTTGGTCTATAACTTGTCCTAAAGCGATTTTTTCTGTGCACTTGAGAGCCGCCTTAGCTAGTAGTTTTGTTTTGACATCAAGCGGGATTCCTGAGTTGTGTACACGGACGTTTGTACGTAAGGACGGACGGACGGAAGTGACGTCAGCCAAGCCACGAAAAATCAACTCGATGGTTTACCTCCGGCCCGCGCGGGAGCTCCGCTCAGTCAGCATCAGTCAGCAAGTAAACGACACTGGATTTTATATAACAAACGTAACCAGTGGTATTAGTCTAAGTTAAGCCTATGAAACAGTAAATTTTCAATAAATTTTACAATTATTAATATTATGATAATGATTGATTTTAAAAGCGGCTACAATCAATACTGTTTACTGCGCATGCTCGACGAAATAATTGGGCTCTGGAAAACTCCAAACCGGAAGACCCAGATTCTGGGTTTCTTGCACATGCGCATTATGACAGACTAGGTAAATTCAAAATGGCGGACCAAGTTCAACGAGCATGTGTATTTGCGCTTGGAAAATTATGTTTTGAAGATGGTTTTCAGTTACATTAACTCCGAAAATATCTATTGGATGGATATCAATACAATTTCCATTACAAAACCGGCAAAACTTTGAAAAATCCGGCCCTACAGGCTTTTTTGGTGTACTTAATTCGAGACGCCATCTTGTTTATTTTCCACGTACTGTAATTTTTACTTCCGGTATCTTCCTTTGTTCTCGAGAACCAATCACAGCACAGGAAATATTGGAGTTTTCCAGAGCCCAATTATTTCGTCGAGCATGCGCAGTAAGAATTAAGGGCTCTGGGTACGAGATTGACCCATGCACATGGGCTATCATATCAAAACTGGATTACTGCGAGAGAGTATATTTAAATATGCTTTCTTGATTACTGCAATTCACTCCTGTATGGCCTTCACCCTCAACTACTCAAAAGGCTACAACATTCCTGCACAGCATGCTGCAGCTCGCTTGGTTTCATCATCATCCAAGTTTGAGCATGTAACATACACCTATTGTCATAACTCCACTCGCTCCCTATACACCTAAGTCCAAAATGGCGCACGGCCGCACGGATGAAAGCGAGGCATCTAGGGCCAAATTTATAATATTTTTTTATGATTTATGCTGCAAGATTGTTGTGTTTCTGAATGTAAGAAGGAAAGAAAGATAAGAAAAAGTGAACAAGTGTATAATTTGCATTGATATCATATTATTTCTTTGCATTTAGCCCTGCTGGATGCCTCATTTTCATGTAACTCACTCAGCCGTGCGCCATTTTGGACTAAGGTGTATTGAATCTCGAGAAGGTCATATCATCAAAGTTAAGATCGAAAAGAATTTTGGGTACTCCAAAATGTGTATTATATTTGCATGTAGACATGTAAAAATGCACAGTAGAGCAAAGTTGGTCGACCTAGATTAACAACATGCCAAAGCCGTGATGCAAAAAAGGGGCACAGGAAAGGAAAACTGCAATACGCATGAAATTAGCATAATTGTTTGTCTTCCCATGCTCCCCTTCGGTCTTAGCTTTAATTATATAACCTTTATTTTAACCCGATAACGTTTTTTCAATCAAGTGTATACACTCCATTACGTCTCCTGCGCTCATCAAACAAGAAATTATTGAAGAAACCCGCTTTTCATCTGAAAATGTATGGTCACTATGCGTTTTGCATAGCTGTTCCTGAACTGTGGAACAAGCCCGCTACCTGAGCAGAGCAAAGACATTCTGAGAGATCAAACTGAAATTTTCAAGCGTTCTCTGAAAACATTTTTTTGTTCAAGAACTATTATTGTATTTGAAAGTACATTTTTGAATGGTAACTCCGATCGTGATGAATTGTATACAGCTATTTCAAAAAACGGATCCAGGGAAGGGGTGCAGGGGGTGCGCACCCCTCCCTGGTTCAACTCTGTGCCCCTACTTCGAAGATAACCAATGCAAAATGTTTTTTCCCTTTGATTCTAAGGGGTGCACCCCTCCCTAGGTTAACTTTGTGAGCTGCACCCCTCCCTGAACAAATTCCTGGATCCGCCCCTGGACAGGGGTGAACGGTAAATATAGCGATCGTTGATTGACGGTTGCATGACCGAAAGGCACTATGGGCATGCATCTAAGCACGAATAATCGAGGGGTTTTAAATGGTTTCGTCGACTATGTGAACACTTCTAAATATCTCAACTACAACAACATCTGTGTTATTGACAAGAATAATGAAAAGAAATACTAGTCTTTTCAGCTATTCTCTTGCATCTTAGAATGACCTATCTCCTATCACTTATTGCCTATCGCTTATTACCTATCGCCGTTCGCTCCTTCAACCTTGTTTTGAAGTCATAGCTGTATCTTATGAAACACACGACAGTTATAATTTCAAAACAATCATACTGATATAACCTAGTGAGAGAGTTTTAGATTGACGTTTTTTTCCTTCGCGCAAACCGCAAACGCCGTGAACACGTTTTCATCGTTTTCCTGTATTTTATTTCAGCTATTGCAAACTTTCTCTTTAAAGCAAAAATATTTTTCTCTTTTTATACTGCTTGGATTTTTTGTCATTAAGTAATTAAAAAGAATTTTTCGATCGACAATGGTTAATTAACGTTACACGTTTGTGTCGTGAATGTTATGTTATCCCTTATTGTACCAGGCGCCTTTTTTAGCGTGTGGAAAATGAAAGAGCTTTTGCCATTTAAATCTCTCAGTTTCTATCCTGGAATTTAATACCCTGACGAAGAAACGAAGAAAAAAAATGAGGACTAGTTGAATAGAAACACAATCTTGATCATAGCTGCAGCAACTGGTAATGGGTCTTCTATTCTATGGGATATAGTGTATAGTGTATAGTCTATATGGTATAGTGCATGGGGTATAGTGTATAATCCATATATTCTATGGGATATAGTGTCAGGGTATGGTGTATAATCTATAGGGTATAGTGCATGAGGTATAGTCTATAGTCTATATATTCTATGGAGTATAGTGCATGTCGTATGGTGTAAGTCTTGGATAGAAACGAACCTGTCCAATAGGTCCCAATCCTCACCACCCCATCTGTATCTGAACTTTTCCACGTCTTCTCCACCAAAGGAATCCCAGTCTTGTTTAAAAATACTAAGTAAGCCATAACCCGGAGTATCCCATTGACCTAAAACCAAATTTAGATAAACAAAAATATTTTGATTATTATGACCTGGGGAAAAAATGTAAGTGCCTTCTATGATATTTTTAACGATTTCCGTTATATAGTATACCCTTTTATGTCCCGTTTTGGTTTGTTCTATATAAAACCAACTAAAAACCACAGATCTTCGGCTTATATTCGGTTTATACTCTGTTCATTCGACTAATACTGTTTTATTTCCTTCCTTCCTTCCTTCCTTTCTTTCTTTCTTTATTTTGTGTTTCATTGGCTTACAACCAAGTGAGCACAAATGATACATAAACAGAATACAAATCTAAAATAGCATCAAAACTAAACAAACAAAATCAAAAATATAGTACAACATTATCCAGCTATTCAGGTTAGTATAGGAAATCGCACGATCTCGAGTAGAATTTGGAATTTATAGGAACGAGTGATGTTTTGAAAGTTCTCAAAATTGGACGAGCCTTTGAAAGGCAAGTCCAATTTGAGAACTTTCAAAACATCACGAGTCTAAATTCAAAATTGTACGAGAAGATTGTGCGATTTAGTGTTTATAATACAGTCAACAAAATTGAGCAACTAAGTTGGGACTCTACAAGTACAATTTGGGAGTTAATCGTACTCCTCTTGTCCAATTAGGATCGAGTAATTTTGTAGAGTGCTATTATGAGAGTACAAATAACTCAGGGGAAAGACTACTGGAGCGAGTACGAATATCCTAAAATATTTGTACTCTAGGTTATTTTGTACAGTAAAAAACGGTTTTGAAAACTAGGTCTTCAAGAATACTCCTTTTTAAGCCTCTTTTTTGGTAAGCTCACTTAGAAAAAAAAAAAACTTATTAGACATCTTTGCATAAGGCAAATGGTCTTACACTTACCTTGTGGGTAGATATCAGAAGCAGAACATGCGAGCCTGAGGAGCATGGGGAAGAAACACAACTTCCCTTTTATCGTGTGCTACAGGACAAATAGAAGTGCATAGCACAATTAATGGTTTGAAGCTCGCAAAACAACACACGTAGAAGAAAAAAACAAAAGAAACGGTAACAACGATAAAATCCTTGCAGCAACAACAAAAGACAAAAAGAAAGCAATTCTAAGAATAGAAAAAACAGCAACACTGCGCAACAACAGCAGAATGTGCAACAACAGCAGAATGTGCAACAACAGCAGAATGTGCAACAACAGCAGAATGTGCAACAACAGCAGAATGTGCAACAACAGCATCAACAACAGCACTAACAACAACAGCACTAACAACAGCAGCAGCAACAACAACATCATTAACGGCAACACTGAGCAACAACAGCAGATGGTAATAGCAGCTGCAAAAACAGCAGCAACAGTAAAACTGCAGCAGCAACCACAAGAGCAGCAACAGAAGCAGCAGTAACAGCATCAGTAACAGAATCAAGAATAAAGCAGCAGCAGCAACAACAACAACAGCAGCAGCAACAACAGCAGTAACAGCAGCAGCAGCAACAACACCATCAACAACAACAACAGCACCAACAACAACGACAGCAACAGCAGCAGCAGCAACAACAACAACAGCAACAACAGCAGCAGTAACAGCAGCAGCAGCAGCAGCAAAAACAACGACAGCAACAACAACAACAGCAACAACAACAGCAGCAGCAACAACAACAG